TTTACCTGAAGCTTATGCTCACCTAATATGATTTAGAAATGACGAATGGTTAAGATTATATGGGGTCATCAACGTTTTGAAGAAAGAGAAATGAGGGGGTCAGAAAAAACAATTTTTTGACCATGATGACGTCAAAATGTAAAAAGAAGTCAAATATATGAAAGAGAACTGTCTCAGCTATAACATACTCAAAGTTGGAAGACGATCGACCAAGGATAAGCGAGATACGCAAATTCGTATTTTAAAAAATGACGTCATAGCTATAATTCACTTTCTTTGAATTCAGATGCCAATATGATGACGTCAGAATGTCCGATCAGCCATTATGATCTACAAAATCATATTTACAACTTATGTGCTTTCAGAATATGTAATAACAATTGGGGGGTCACCTTTCAACCTAAGGAGCTATAACTGATTAAAAATAGGTCTGATTTTAGCATAATTTCACTGTATAGCGGCACAAATACGTGCAAAGATACCTAGGTTTGATGCGCACGTAAGGCATTGCTATTGGCCAAAAGATGACCGAAAAGAATGCAAATTTGTGAAAACAATGTCAGGAACCCAAAATATGTAAAATAACGTAATTTCTAGCGTAATTTCCGTACGTGCTACGCACGTAAAAATGCGCGTGCGTAGTGGAAAATTTCAAAAAAATTTGAAATGCTCAAAATGGCCTGAAACGTGCTCTAATTTAGTCAAAAAGTGATTTTGAGCATTTTAAAATGTTGACGCATGCGTACGCGTGCGTAGTGAAGCGCATGCGTCAAATTAGGGAATAGTACATTCAACATTAACCCGACGTTAATGCTCAATTAATACGATTTCGAAATGGCAATTGGTTAGGCTGATATGATCGATAATGTAAAAAAGCAAAATTGCGCGTAGATGACGTCACGCATGACTGAGCGCTTTGAAAAGCTTACCATGACTATTCCAGACCAAGCCAAATGTTCGCTGACAGCGATTTTGCGTTACTCGTGGCAGTTTTTGAGATATCGTGCGAACAGAAAAGGGGAGAAAGAAAGGAGAATAAAAAAAAAGAAGATGAAGATGATGATGATGATCCTGACAATAACAAGAGGTGATCCGCTAGTGTTAGCGGATCACCAATAAAACATGACATTTTGACATACTCAGAGTTCATTTGTGATACTCCTTTGTGCATTCTGCTTTGTAGTCAATAAGTGTGTGAAATCGCTGAAAGCACGGCACAGGACACATCGGCTGGTTGCATTCCTTACACATGTATGGTGTTTGGTGACGCTTTACCCCTCTCTTCGAACACACTACACAGTCTGGCGTGGTTTGTCTCCCAGCTGGTGTTTTTGCATCATTGATCGACACAAAATGACGTTCCGTTAGCTGGCGGGGTGGAGCTTGCGATTTTCTCCCTGCCCTTGGGGAAGGACGTGCATAGTTGGCAAGTAGACTATCAATGAGTTCAAGGCGCAGTTTGTCTGATCTGACACGTTCATCTTGACGAAAACATCTGTAAGTAATTAGAGCATTTACAAAACTTACCTCCAAAAGGTAGATGAATACCTTCTTCCACCATTTGACGCTCTTGTGAATATGCAGGTAAGTCCATATCAACCTGTCGGCTTGGTCCACTCCACCCATGTACTGAGTATAGAGTTCGATGGCGCATGGTTTGTTGATTACACGGTGATTTGGTCCACGTCTTTCCCTCACTTGCCTGTCAAATGTCATAGAATTGTGAACTGTACTCAACACTTACCTTTCTCTTGTCCGTCCAAGCAATAAAGAGCAACTTACCGTCTCTTTCAAACACAGAATCACCAACGGCAGGATTTGCATTTTGAATGGCATTGGGTGTTCCTCTCCTGTTTGTTCTCAAAGTGCCGCATGCACCCAAACCTTCATCTGCTAGCCGGGTAAATAGATCTGGAGAAGAAAAATAATTGTCCATATAGACATGATGTTTCTTACCTGTGATTGGTTGACAAAGATTCATAACTGTCACCTGTGTGGCGTTAGCTTGATTATTCCCAATATACAGTTCCGAATTAAATACGTATCCAGTCTTGGAATCGGCCAATGTCCAGGCAGTCATCCCTCGTTTGTGCGGTTTCTTTGGATGGTAAGTCTTGAAACCAACTCTACCCTTGAAGGCAATCACACTCTCATCTACTGACACATTCCTGGAGGGATAAAAAGCTGTCTGAAAATTATTTACAACATGATCCATAAAAAATCTAACCTTGAAAGCCTTGTCATAATTCGGGTCGTCTCCGGGAAGAGCATCATCATCATCTACAAGATGAATACATCTAAGCAACAGATAAAATCTGTTTCTGGACATAACAGATCTAAGTCCAGGATGATCCAGAAGCCAATGGGTCGACCAATGCGACTCATATCTGCCATGCCTAACCATTCCTAGAGCTAAAAGTAAAGTAATAAAAGCCCTTACCTCATTTACATCCGTATCACGCCAATCTTTCAAAATGGAGTTACCTACATTACCTGCATTTTGGATGAGCTTTCGAGCGTACCTGTTGGTTTCTCTCACCATAAGCTGAAGCATGTCGTCGTCTATAAAGTGATGAAAAATATCGTAGAAAGTATTCAATCGCCTCCTTTTTTTTCACATCTAGTTGCATCCTCGCATTTCAGAATTCTGCAAACTAGCCCTGGGAAAAAGGTCTAAAATAATAGCATTTAAGATTTACTCACTTAGATTTAGAAAATTAAAAAAAAGACATGCAACATAGATAAATAAAATTTTGAAAATCAGTGTTTTCATTGACTTTGGTTTTTGTGAAAATTTACTTTAGGTCTGAACTATTGATATAGGTGACATGTCTCCTAACAACTTGGGATTACGCACAATCATTACAGCACAATTATGACAAATTATTACATTTATTATGCATTAGAAGTGTGAAGTGAATGTGAATAAGAAGATTTAATTTTAATTACTTTAAATTATTTTTACTGGGCTTCAGCGTTCGATTTACCCAGTGTCGCATCGCAAAATATGAATGTTTTACGGTAATTGCTAAGCACTTCCACAATTGCATCACAGATAAATGCAATACAATTATTTGCCTAGAATTAACCACTCAGTCTTCAGCAAGGCCTGGCTGTAAAAACTAAGAGGCTTGGTGCACAACCAATTTCAAAGAAGTTAAATTCCCGCATTACAACTAATGTAAAACAAGAAACTTTTGTGAATTGATAAGGGCACATATGAAAAAATTGTTAGATTATCACTCCTGCGCACATTAACTATTTGGAAATATTGATGCGGTTATGAAAAAAAACCCCACCCTCATCACATTTTTTTTAAAAGGAGTATTATTCTAATAATTCTTTCTATGTGCACTAACACCTGAATTTATTCATGAGATGAACACCATACTATAGATCATCTATGATGACAATATCGTATCATGAGTTCTAGGCTAGAAAAGCCCAGGCACAAACCTGCCTATCTGCTAGGGTTTAGCTGGCCAGACACAGCTAATAATTACATGATAATTACAATCCTCATTAACATGCGATATTAATCAATTCTGTATAGTACAGTATTTGTGAAATTTTTTTTGCACATGAAAGTTTAGCTGGTTTTACAGTATTAAACACTTTGATTGTCTTAAATATGATTTTATTAAGGATGTGTTGAGTACTATTAATAAGAGTATCATCCTATAATTCAATATATATTTATAGAAGCTAAACAGATTGGGTTTTACGAATAATAAAGTGTAGTGCTTAGATCCACACAGTAATCCTAAACATTGTTATGTTACATGGATATTATTTCATCAGTACTTTTTCTTCTAAAGATCATCGGAGGAGGGCAGAATAAAAATAAAGATAAAATTTAGTTTTTTTATTCAGCAAACAGTCTGCCTAAAACATCCAGACGGAGGAGAAAATAAATATACAATTTTATTGGTGAATGTAAATTAGGATGGTTAAATATTGATATTTTTAAATATCAATATTTGCAGTAGGCGGGTTCGATAAACAAGGTATAAAAAAGTCTCGCCCGAACATTTGGTTTTTAGAATCTATTAACTTACCGATTTTGACAATTTTGAGCTTTTGAAACTTCTTAGTACTTTTTGATCCAGTTCAGATGAAGTCAGGAAACAAAGTTGTTCAGGATAGATTTAAATGTTTTTAAAAAAGTTTCAAGGCTTAAAAATACTGTAAAATATATATAAATATGTTAAGTGAATTGCCATGTAAATAAAATAAACGATTATATAATAACACCAAATTCCATCACATGAAGTAGTTGATGTATTTTGAAATGTTTGTTCTGTGATAAGTTTAAATGAGGTGTTTTGTGCAAGTTTAAATAACGTAGTCTGTTAAGGTGACTCTCAGGCTGCACATCACAAATTCAGCACACACTGTACAGGTACACAAAGAATTATTCAAGCTGTGTTAATTACTTAGTTAAATATATTAATGAAAGTAGGTTTATCAAATCCAATTAAAATAAAAGAAAATAAAGTAAAAACAAAAAAATAACAAACATTATGCTTTAATTAAAAATGTCATTAGCATAAGACAACAATGTAGTATTTTGTTTACTATTACATCATTGAATTATGAAATCTAATTTTACACGTACATCATCTAATCCTTACCATTGACCAACTTGTGACAAGTGATAAAATGGAATCCCAATCACATTATATGTCTGTATATTACTATTCGCTTTAATAAAGTATTCACTTAGTATTATTGTTTTCACAACAAAACTCACCAATTGTTTGCACAAGACCATCTTCAAGAACCGATCAAAATTATTATAATGCCTCCATAGAACTTACTGGTATGTTGGCAGGTAGCACATACTGCAGCTCAGGACTGGTGATCTGATAATGCATATTGAATTTTAAGTTTTCGTGTCCATCTTCACCAATACTTACTGTAGCTCCCTTAATAACGGCTTATGGATGCCATGTTTTTTCTTTTTGTTTTTTTTTTACTCCTGACAAAAACACAACATGAAGAAGAAATAAAGAAAATGTTTAACTTTACAGTTAAGATCGACAATATACAGTAGGCTGCACAAAGATGTAGGCCTATACTGATATTAAATAAGGAAGTGGATATATTTACGTCGTCGTAATCAAATCAGTAAACGATATATTTACTTAAATGAAACGACACATGCGCAGTCACACTTTAACAACTAGCATTTTCAGCACTCGATATTAGCGTGGCCTCCCAAGCCGCGGTGATTCCCCCAAGTTCAGCATGGCACTAATTAACTTATAATTTTGTTTTTTATTTCATTTCATTTTTTCATTTCATTTATTTCGCTTTTTTTTAATCATAACAATACAGTAAAATATTCAGAAAATTCGAAAATGTGTGTGTGTGTGTGTGTGTGAAAATACAAAAATAATTAACAATTAAAATATGTTCATTACTTATAGTATTATTGTTATTTTTATTATTACTATTACTATAATTATTATTATTATTATTATTATTATTATTATTATTATTATTACAACAATAATAATAACTACAATAATTTTTATTACAATTACCAGCATAATAATTATTATAAATATTAAACAATCACACAAACAAATAAAAAAGTACACAAAAATTGATCAGAAATAGGAAAGCACCCACCCCCAAACCCTGCCCCCACATCACAAACCAACAAACACCAAAAAGAGAAAATTAAGTAATTAGAGTTCACTTTTAGCTTGACTTGGTTATAGGCATATCTGAAATTCTCTCAGTTGTAAAAATGTTCTTTTAGCTTTCTGAGGAATAAGTTAATGTTAAAGAGAGCAGCATCACATACTTCAAGTGGAAGAGTTTCCCATACAATGGGAAAATAATTGAAAGCAAAGAATTTAAATGTATTGGTTCGGGCAAAGGCATGCCTAAAACGCAAATCATCAGAGTGTCTTGTGTTGATCCTAACAAATTCCAAACAGTTTAAATCATACACATGATAAAGGCATTTACAAACAAAAGCTACAAGAATGAAATCGTATCTAGCCTTCATAGAGATCAAGTTAAATTTAACTAATCTCTCCTCATATCTTAACACAGATCTGAGTTCATTTGGGATGCTCATACGAGTTGCTTTCCTCTGAACCTTTTCAATAGATTTCAAATGTCCAGCTTGAAATGGATACCAGCTCGGTACTCCATACTCTAAAATTGGTGTCACTAGGAAATTATAATTTGATAAAGGCTTCGGAGTGATTGTATTTCAAAGTTCACTCAATAAAGCCAAGAAGTTTCAGACCCTTAGAAGTGACATCATTAACGTGAGCACCCCATGATAAATTAGATGCAATGTTAACACCAAGGTACTTGTGAGTAGAAGTGAGCTGAAGGCAAGCCTCATTGATGTAATAACTTTTTGGAGATTGTGCTCGACTAGTTAATCGAGTGATTCGCATTACTCTACATTTGTTCGGGTTGAGGGACATTCCACACCCCTCGCTCCACCTACAAACATGGTTGAGATCACTCTGGAGGATGGCTTCATCATTAGAAGAGAAAATAGCACGATAAAGAAGAGTGTCATCTTCGTAAAGAGGGATAGAAGATTGGATAGTATCAGGAAGGTCACCGATAAATAAATTAAAAAGAATAGGCCAGAGGACTTTTTTTATTAAACAAAATTTAATTTTCTACAATAGCACAGTACGTAGTTTAATCAGTAGTGTTAAATTTTCAAATAAAAGTGATACTGTATTATGAGATGGAAATGTTATGTTCATCTTACTCAATCATTTGTTGAGTTCTGTATCCAGGGACGTATCCAGGGGGGGAGCCGTGGGAGCCGCGGCTCCCCCCCCCCCTTTGTACACAGTGTTAAAATTTTAAAGCTTATTCTTCGCGGCCAATACAAATTCTTTCCTGGGATCACTCAAAATGAATACTTCTAAACATGTAAATATGCATCAGTACACGTTATACATAGGCCTAATAGAACACATAGGCCTAAGCGTGATTTAAAAAAATCTTAAATCCATAAATCTCAGGCCAGGTCTTTTAAATAGAAATGCGATACTGTGGTTCAATTTCGTTTTTATCCTTTTGCAAGTTTTTTTAAATGTTTGTTTAATAATACTACTACTAATATTAATACCGTAATAATAATAACAATGATGATGATGACGATAGTAATAATTGATATTAATTTTAATAACAATAAAAAGTGAAGAAAATTGTGCTAAATGCGTTAAAAAGTTGTGATTTCTTGATCATAATATAGTATATATAGTTAACGCTTAGTAAGCTATAATTAGATAAAAGATCATGAGAAATTTGTTGGCGTTTCATTTTGACTATAATGGCCAGGTAATGTGATGATGATGAATTTTACTATATAAAAGTGTCATTTCCGGCCATCTCGAGGGGTACTATTTCCTCAAATTTTCTCACCTCAGCCCCAGCCATGGTGGGGCTGAGGTGGTTGTGAAATCACGTTTTTGAAGTTGGCCTATGTAAAGTACATACTCAAAGACAACGCTTTTAATCTTTGTTTTCTATGGTATACACACACATTAATAAGATCTCTAT